AACTATGATGTCTCATGTAAACGATGTATCGCAGTGCTCAAAAATTACAATCGCTCGATCGAGTGGCTGCTCATTCAGAAGAGATTGAAACCAAGTAGTGGAGTTGGTGAACAGATGATGGTTAATTCTCATTATCGAGTCCTCTAACTCCAGCAACTCTCCTCCTCATCTATCTCCTCCCAAGATCTCCTCCCGCATGCAAGCAACGACAAGAGCTCTCCATGCTCCTCCAGTCGACGGTGGGGTGTGGAGCAATCGTGAAAAAGCTCGCCGTTGCATGTTCACCAACTGTGGAGCAGGAGAACAGCAGCGATGTTGAAGTTGAACCACGCTGTTAGAGTAGAATAAACATCAACGATGAAGAGTCTGCATGTATGCAACCATCAAGTCTCTCGGTTATGGTGAGGATTCAGGTCAATTGTAAAGGTCTCGTCAGGTTAGTGAGACGTGAGAAGGAGTTCCCCAGTAGAAACCTGAGGAGAGAGAAGAGCTGCTCCAGACTTGTTCTACTTCAAGTGGAACAAGTCGAGAGCATGGGAAGAAGAAAATTCTTCCTGCCTCTTGCACCATGGGGCTTCAAGATTTGGCTTTACCATGTACTGACGGCTTGTTTCAACTCACTTCCTGTTTTCTCTTTCCTGACGCGCTTCATCCAACGCTGTTTGTTGCTGTGCTCTGTGCTCCTTCCTGAAGCATGCTGAAAAGAGCCTACTCCGCTCTGTGTCTACCTCTCCCTCCTCTAGCTGCAACCATTGGACAGTCAAATGCTGGGGCAAGCACTGGCTCACACACCTCATCCTTGGCGTATATCTCCTCATAGCACGCGGGTGATATACACTTGTACGTGCAAGAAAGCCTCGCCTCTCCGATGAGCCCTGAAGCACAGTCTCGTATCATAATAAACCCAACCATCCTGTTATGAGACAAAAAAAAAAGCATTCTTCGAACAGTGTGTTCCAAGGATTTTCACCACCGAGTCTACCTGACTGATTCAACGACTGTCCTACATCTCACGTTCCATCTAGACTACCAAAATCTTCACTCAGAAGTGAAATCTGCATGTCTTACCAGAGCATACTTCCTTCTCGCAGTTGTTCCTTCTCGAACGCATTTCCCTGTCCTGCTCAACAAGTCAAGATTCCACACACTCGTGCTGTGACCAAGTTCGCATGCTCGACTTACAACATTGCCCCCTCTAGAACCTCCTCTTCTCGGAGCACAAGAAGTCAGAGGGAGCATAAGTCCCAGCAGCAGCGCCGCTGCCATAGCTCGGGCTAGCGCGGTCATGCCAGCATAAAGGCCTCCTCCCCCCACTGACCCATTGACTAAAAAACCCACCCCTCTTTCAGCCCCTCTTTGGTGTTGGTGACAACCCCTACCCACCCTTTTTCACAGTACCCTACGATATTTTCACCCTACCCTGTATCATGATAGCATTCACGTCTAACAAATGGACCACTCACACCCTCTACAATTTCTGAGTACCCCTATATTATGTACCCCCTACCCCCTTTTCCTGACCTCTCGGTGGATCTCCAAACAGACCCCTGTTCAAAATGAATAACTACATCCACCCTCCCACCCCTACCCACCCCTATCATAGTCCCCTACCCCTCCCTCACCCTCTTCACAGTTGACTCGCCCATGGTCGCCGTCATGAGTATGGCGACAGGCAGCGGGGTGCATGGCTAACGGAGGATGAAGTCACGGACCTGTTGAGCCACCACTTCCTCCTCCTTGTTGTCCTCCTCCTGGCACATGATAGTCCTGCTAACTTGATCGTCCGTGGGATAGTAGCAGCATTTCAGTGGCAAAATCTTGCAGGACCGATTCAAGTGCAGAAGTTTTTTGACGTAGCGATCGAATTGCTGTCCCATGTTCGAGCTGCAACCACCAACGATTCATGATGAACTTTGTCGAACGTAGTCTCCACTACCTGAAAATTTGACGAATGATCGACAAATAGTTTGGGATCAGTGGCCCTAACGCTGGAATCAGCAGTGAGTTCCTTTACTTCGCAACTATCATCATGATGCAGCAAATTGCGGTGATTCGACATGGCAGCAGATCGTCTCCCTCAAACGAGAACAATGCGAACCGTGACATACAGCCTCAGGGCATTGCCCGCGAGTCCTACAGGTCCCCAGGGTCGGCACCGGACAATCACAAATCGAAGGTGGGCATACGAAAAGGCAATGGTGAAGTCGATGCAAAGCAAGCTTCAGTCCCTAGCAAGTGGAAATTCAGCTTGACATGGCTTTTCACTGACAGCTCGGGGACTTCTGACCCGACGACACGGCAGGAGAGCAAGATATGGTATCGCGTTCCAATCCATCCATTTTCTCCCTTCATGAAAGCATGGGAGTTTGTCTCTGGTTGCCTGTTGCTGTACACTACCACCGCCACCCCCTTCATCATAGCGTTCTACTCAGAGCAAGAGGGGTACTGCCAGCACTCCTCCACGATTGAGCTCGACATGCTTGTGGACATTTTCTTCATGTTTGAGATCTTTCTCAATTTCCTGACCGGAAGGGTGTATGGCGGGAGGTACCTTGACGGATATGCTTCTGTTGCCAAAAACTACGCTAGGAATGGTCTGGCAGTTGACGTCATGTCTGCTTGTCCCATGTCCTGGATGGAGTACTACCTCGTCCCGAACGTCCCCTGTGACTTGCGCTCCGAGGCTGAGAAGCAGAATGCGTTCATCAGGTACCTGCGGTTGATTCGTCTGCTGCGGTTGCTCCGCCTGCTCAAAGTCTTGAAGATCTTCAACGTCCTTCGCAAGCTCTTTCACTTCCGCCCCAACGTCATCAGGCTCTACAAGTTGGTGTTCGCCGTCTGTATGATCGGCCATCTGAGCGGCTGCGCATGGTGGCTGGTGAAGGTGCAGGAGGGGAAAGAAGTGCTGGACAAGTTCAAGCTTGTCCACAACATCGATCGCTATGGAACCCTGGGATCGCCTCTAGGGAGCAACTACATCCTTGCTCTCTACTTCCAGATGACAACGCTGTGTACAGTTGGTTATGGCGACATCTCCGCGTCGGAGGATTCTGAGCGGATCTTGATGACGTTTATCATGCTGTTGGGAGCTTCGGTGTTTGCCATCATCATATCCAACATGAGCACACTGGTTTCAAGTATGCGAGGAACCGACGGGATGTATCTTGACCGCTGTGACAACATCGTCACTTACCTGCGTTCCAACGCCTTCCCAGCGAAGCTCGAAAAGCAGATCGGGAAGTTTTACGCTTACAAGAGCGGGAGCCCAGCCCAGCTCTCAGAGATGTATGCTTCCCTGCAAGGGCTGCCCGCTGCTCTGCAGGCAGACATCAAAATAGCCATCTTCTCCTCCACCATCAACTCACTTTCGTTCTGCGATGTGGGGGACGCGTCGATCGAGATGGAGCTCAAGACTTTCCTCGTCACAAACATGCACGTTGACATCTTCATGCCGGGAGACAGCATCTCCTACATGAACGAGCTCTGCGACAACCTCCACATCCTCCTTCATGGCGCCGCTCAGCAGTACATCGCCGACGAGGAGTCAGGGCGGAAAATACTGGTGGACACAATCAACGTCTCGAACTTGACAGGGCTAGTTGAGCTCTTCAACGACGTTCCATGCATGGTAAACACAATGGCTCTGGGCTTCGTAGAGGCCTGGGCGATGGATGCCGTAACTTGGAAGCACTTCCTCGAGGAGTTCCCTTCCATCGTCCCTGGTGTGAAGCATGAGGCTGAAAAGAAGCTGCTGTCCCTGTCTGGTCTGCTGGAGTACAAGCACGATTGCCGCTGGAGGTTGAAGAAGAGGAACAACGTTTGGAACCACTGGCGAGCGATCGTTCACCAGTACTACTTGCTGTGCAGGGCGAAATTCTCGCACATCCATGGGTTCCAGGTGACGACGATGTTATCCGATGGCGCTAGAGTGTTTGTCTGCTTCTCCTAAGTCCTGTTGACGTGTGAAGTGTGTTGTCCTACGAGCTTCCGTGGTCCTCCTGCTGTCGGTCTGACGAGGATGTCGATGCAGGAGCGAGCATCGTCACGACTTGGGCACTTTGCCATGTCCAGGTGTGTGAGAGGGAGGACGGGGGAGCGAGCTGACGGTCGGCCAGGTCTATGGCAGCAGAGCTTGACTTCGAGTTCTCGTTGGGGGAAGCGACTGCTCGTCTCAAGGAGTTGAAGCAGAAGAAGGCCGAGCGGAAAGAGAAGGATCTTGACGCGTACCTCCAGGCGCAGATGAACAAAGAAAACAACGGGCGGGCAGGGGCCGCCGCTGTGGAGGAGCACGACCACGCGCCTCCTCCGGACACAGGAGCAGGAATCTTCTCCGACCCCGCAGGACCGCAGGAGGGAGGACGGATCAGCTTCTCCGCTCTCCCTCCACAGCGGCAACCCACCCCAGAGTCCCTCCAAGATCTTCTATTCACCCTCCGGTCCTACGCCGACTGGATCTCGCTGAAGGCCCGAGAGAGCGCGTCCTCGGTCGAGCCCGAGCAGGCGAGGGCGAAGCTGTCGGCCCGGTCCTTCATCAAGCGATCAGCATGGCGAATCTCTCAGTCCTCCTTGAGCCGAACCAAGTCTACCACCGCCAGGGATCTTGACGTCATGTCCACGGTCGTCCGCCTGCTGGGGCTGAGCTGGGGAATAACATGCTGGCAGGTCCAGCACGTTGTGAGCCGGGAGACCGCAATGCTGGACAACGTGGGTAGGGATATGCTTGTGCTGTTCTCCTCTCCCCTCCTCTCCCCTCCTCCCCCCCCCTCCTCTTTCCTCCCCTCTCCTCTCCTCTCCTATCCTCTCCTCTCCCCTCCCTTCCTCTCCCCTCCTGTCCTGTCCTGCCCTGTCCTGTCCTGTCCTCTCCCCTCCTCCTTTCTCGACTCTGCTGCCCCCCTCCTCCTCCCCCGCCTCCCTGCGATCTTCATTCTCTTCCCTCCT